TGCTTTTTTGGCGGAAGGGTGTGAGTGATCAATGCATGGTGCTGGGAGTTTTCATGGTATGGAGAGGGGTTTAGCTTATTGGTGTTGTGCATGCATTGTGCAGGCCAAATGTACAATGTCTAAGGTGAGGCCATTTGTAGATTGAGCCAAAGCAAACAGCAACACTAAAGGATGCTGAGGAGGGACATTCGACAAAGCTTCATGTTCTAGCTGCGTAGAGGAAGTTGGTTGTTATCAAGTTATCCACCAATGAACTGTGTATTTCCCGGGCGCCATAGCACAATTCAAACTATTATACAGATATCATATAGCGAACGGAAAGAAAACAAAGAGAAGAGAGGAACCTAACCAGGGGGTTAAGCCACTTGGTCCCTGGTCTATTAACTGAATGTATGAACCGCAGAAGGGAATTCAAGTGAGGAAGCGACCCAAGGAACAACGATTAATTTGCTGTTTAGCGACTTTAGGAGATAAATGGACGTGACATGAAGCTACTATAGGAGCAAAGGGCATCGCTACGAACGGAGCGATCGGACGCTACGATCGGGGCTCCTGGCCGTACTACTGGGAACAAGGTTCGCTACTAGGGGCTCCTGGCATCGCTACTATAGGAGCAAGGACGCTACTAGGGGCTCCTGGCCTTAGTACTAGGAACAAGGTTTGCTACTAGGAACAAAGGGCATCGCTACTTTAGGAGATAAATGGACATGAAATATCCTGAAATCCGATCTCAATCGGATGGTCGTTGGGTCTGAGCAAGCTTGGCCGTCCCAAACCGGTCTCGATCTTCGCTCTCCCAAAACGGTCTCCTGAAGCGGCCCCGAAAGCGACCTCCCTTTTGGCCTTCGAAACGCCATGGATTCATTCGATGCCGTGAACGCGAGGTTTCTGGGCCGTGAACGCGACGTTTCAAGTGGTCTTCCTGTGGACTTGGTGTGAGGATAGGAGCAAGTGGGATCAAATGGCCATAAATTGCTTGGCGAATCAAACCTTTTGATCCATCAAACCTTTTTTCCAAATCACCAGACTGAACGGGGCGGAGCAAGTTCACCAAGAGCGCAATGCGGCGCAAGGGAGCCAGCCTTGCGATTTCAATCTTGGAGGTGACATGGTTTGTGTTGGCTAATATTATGTTATTTATATAAGATTAGATGCTTTAAGTTCCCACAATGCTCCACAGATTAAATGGTTTGAAGGTCCCAAACGTAAGGAAACTCGTTGATGTTGAAAGCAAGTCATGGACTATCATGGACTCATTGACAGTCTTTTGTTTGAACCATCAAAACAGTCTTTTGTTTGAAAGAGTCCAGGTGAAGATTTTCCTGTCACCAATCGGCCCAGAAAACAGGAACCGGTGGGACCCACACGGGACCCCGCGGGACGCAGCCGCGGGACGCAGCCGCGGGACACACCTGGCCTTGGGGCCCTTGGTCCATGACCTTTGCGTGTGAGGGTGGCCGCGGTGTTTCTCTTGTGAGGGAGCCCGCGATGTGGCCGTGGTGGTGCAAAAGAATGTGCAAACTGCTGGAGGGAACTTGGATTTTGGTGGAGTTCCGCAAGTTCAAGGAGTCAAGATGTTAAAGAGTTAGTCAGTGTCATTGAAATCCTTGAGAACAAGGTGAGAGTTCACCCCTCATGTTATCCTTTTTTACACGAATTGAATATGGTTGAGCTGGGAGGTGATGGAGGAGTGGGGCATGTCCATCATTGCAGCCTGATGGACTTCGGGTGGGCATGGGCGGCGGAAAAGCGAAGGCTTGGCCCAACCATCCTGTCCAGCCGATGAGCCGACTAGTCGGTCCCGAACGGAAGAGGTGGTGGTGACCAGTGATCCAAGGAGGAACCTGGGTGAAGTCATAGTGCTGCGGCGTTTTTGGATCAGCTACAGGCGTTCAGAGAGAATGTGACATCACACAAGTAATTGTTGCTCGGCTTCGCAGGTCATTCTAGCTCTTTGAAGCAGATTGAGCCTTGTATCGTGAAAACAAGCTTTCTTGATCACCAGCTGACAATACTTGTATCAATCTGCCGATATCGTATAGTGCAGAGCACAAGAATTGAAAGTTTTGCAAACCCAGCTGAAAGGATTGGTGGTGCTCAGATGATCACATACATGATACATGCATACGCCACAGGCACACTTGTTTTGACGCTTTGTGATCTTTTGCGCCACTAACAGTATCTCCCAGCACCCCCCTACACAAGGTAGGTCATTTGTGGACTGCCCAAGCGCCATGGCTATTCTACCATGTCCGGGACCTCAAACCAGCGCCTGATGGTGAGTCAGCAGGGACGGAGCTGGTAGGTTTGTCGTTGGTGAGCACCTCAGGGAGTTTCACAGGGACGACCAGACCGCAGTGGTTGGCACACCGACCAGACCCTTCACAGCTGTTTCATGTCTTAAGTTGTACTAGTACCTGCAGCAATGTTGCAGGGCACGGCAGAGTGTACAAATGTTATGGTACTTGTATTATCTTGTATTGTACTATATTGTACTTATATATATATACATTGTTTTCTACAGTACAAGTTCACGTCCGAGTTTCTATTTGTTTTACTCAGTTGGACCCTCGAAATTGAAGTACTGTAGAAACTCGGACATGCACTTGGACTCATTTTTTCAAGAAGCCCATAGGGTTCATTGTAGATATACATTGTTTGTTGTTTTGATACATAGCGCTATTCCCAAGTAGAAGTACTGGTCGGTAAACTTGAATCATTTGTCTCGTTGTCTTGGACAAGGTCAGCTCACTGTTTTTAGATGTATAGTCTGCAAATTGGTGCTTTTTTTGGGCGTCTACAGGATACTCACGTGTTGCACACGGCACTTGGTTTGGCGTCCAGGGCCAGGGGTTATTTTCTTCAAGAATCTGGACCAAGTAAGTACCAACTACTTCAGTGAACCAAAGGGCTTTCAGCAAGAGACATGCTTCACGGAAGTCTCGTCAATTTGCACTGTTGTCGGGTTCCCCCAACACCCAACACCCATCGCACACCCAGAGTCAAAAAACCTTCACAAGCCAGGCAGAGCTAGGGGACTTCTTAACCCTGCAGTTTCTGCACCGGTCACTTGCTCAGAGAGGTGCTTTCGGAAACTCGACGCTGTTGCACTCTGTGACTTCAGCCTGAAATGGTGAAAGAGGATGAAAGGATGAAAGAGCCAAGTATGGAAAACACCGTATGCCATCTTTGTTTGGGGACAGGATGTGCCATCTATTCGGGGGCCCCCAAAAAAGTGTGAAACATCAGAACCTAAGTCTAGACAAGTCTCAAGTCCTAGCTTAAGATTGTGTTCGCCCATTTCCCACGTTTGGACCCTCTTAGGTCACCAAGACACGAGCCCAACCGCGCTCCGTGTGGCACGGTGCACTGAACCTGGACCACAGGCGGGTGTGTCGCGCTGCGCGGGTACCGAGGGCCTGTTCGATCTACCACTGTCCTCCAGGATACTCCCGGTCGGGACCGGGAAGTTGTATAGGCAGTGGATGCTGCGAAGGGCAAAATGGTTGATCAATGTTGATCATGTTTCCCTACAACTCTGGACTTCTCTTGGTGGGCCACTGCTTTTCGAGCCACATGGCATGGTTGTTTGTTTGCCATCTCAGTACTGTAGAGGCAGAGGGTACTAAAATATGATTCTGCAGTGCTAATACTCAGCTTTGTCGGTGGCAGACGGGCAGAGTTTCAAAAACATGAGTTCCATCGTTTCGTACCTGGACGTGAGTTCCGTTTGTGGCGTGGTAAGAGTTCGATGGTCTCACGCGTCTCGCACCTTGAGATCGTCCCCACAGGGACTGCAGGGAGTTTTCTCTTGCTTGACCTGGTTTGCTTAGGATAACTGTTTATTCAGTCTACTCGTATTTTCCAATGGATAAATTCCCTTCTGGGGAATACGTTCGCCGGTTCCTGGAGCAAATCCACGTTTACCATTGGACCATTTGGGGGTCGACTTTCGTGGAGACATCGATGCAGGTACACGAGTTGTGGAGCTTCCTGCTTGGCACCCTCTCTTGAAAAGATTGGTTGGGAAAAAAAGGATTGCTTTGATTTGTTCTAGCTGAACATCACAAGCGAAGGAATGCCTGATGACAATCTTGGAAAGCGTGATGCAAGTTTTTTCAAGTATACATAGTGGATCAAACACTCCTCCACTTGAGCCAAGTCAACACTAGCCACTCGATCGGCTAGCCGGCTAGCCCAAGATGAATCCATCCGGACGTTTGAAAACAGATGAATCCACTAGAGCCTCTTAATCTTTGAGAGGGGGTTGCGGAAGACACAAACAAACAGCAGACAAAACGAACTAGCACAGAAAGTCACCTTGAGGTTTTGAACATTTTCCTCAGATTCATTCTTTAAGTGGGCTTACTTTGACTCGATGTTCATTCTCGTCTTCCCAAGGCAAGAAACACAGCCAACCTGGGCCGCCTGGACCTCTGAGCCGCCTCAGCCTGGGGTGAGTGTAGGAATGGATGGCGACCAGGTGGGCTGTGTGAACAGATGCGAACAGTGAACTGTTGTGACCAGGAGTGTAGTGTTTTTTGGTGAGACCTATGGCCTATGTTATGTGGAATGAGTATGCCTGCATCTGATTGTATCAGATCGATTCACGGATCTCTAACTCCAAGCTGCTTGCTGAGGATTCTTCCTAAAAGAGAATTGCTTTGATGTCAGCCTCCTTTCTACGATGTAGTGTGGCCATGCGTGGTTCTATCAATGCGGTGACCTTTAACTTAGAGGATTCATCCGAAACTATTGCTCAACTTGAAGTTTCATCAGTGTAGCGGTGAGGCTACTTGTTGCTTCCTGCAGCGACGAGCGATTACAGTACATGTTTGTCGGACGACATTATTGAGTATTTCATAGTATTTATATCCATGCAAAAGAGGGCTGAGAAGAGAACTGGTTTCAGGTCACTTTTGGGAACTCGTTAAGACTGACCTGTTTGATGAAGCATCAAGGCCAAACCAGCTGTCAGATGCTGTGAGATTTGACGCCGCAGAACTTTGAAGGATCGACCATTTAGAGGGTCCTCCTGTGCGCCCATGTCTCAGGACGGGTGCTGATTGGAAGGCAAATGACCGGCCATTTGCTCAAGTTAACTGTAAATAGTAGAAACGAACTCGTTCTTACTTCGGAAGCATGCATACGCTGTACATGATTTTACATGCATTTACTTATATTTATCACCTGTCCTTCCCGTCTACCTGCCAGGTTGCGGTTTGATGGGTGGCTTCTGGCAACCAAAATCTGTTTGAGCTGTTTAGCGTTGGACTTTGGTAGGATATGTCAAGCAATGATCACACTCATTTCGTGTTGTATTAGGTCTGAAATTTAAGCAGGATTCTTACTGGAGGTGGGCAGGACATTCGCCTTTGTTTTTAGACCTACAAAGTCCTTCAATTGTCCATGCCGGGCAGCATGGTTCTGCACTGCATGAAAACAAGGATTCGCCAGAGGGGCTTCCTTCCAGTGCAGTCTCCGACTTAAAAGGGACCATTGATGTGACGTAGGAGGGAGGCCCTGCGAATAGCCATCATTAGGTTGAGGCCCAGTTGAGGCTTCCGTTTGTTTTCCCCACAACTTAGAACTGGGAACGTAGACGCGCACACACAAACAAGAAAATAAAGAAACTCCATGTATTAGGATGGCTGGCCTGTTCAAGCAATTTTGGACATAGGCGTCACTGTTGAGAGACTGTTATTTTTTTGAGTGGCTTGGCCTGGTGCCTTAAAGATCCTGAAGCAAACCAGTGTCTGTCAACATGTATGAGTCTTGTCAAATCCCATGGGTGAATGTTAATCTGTTCCTTCTGTGCACGGTTAGACCAATGTATTTACCTGAACATCACAGGGCTCAGCTTACAGTTGTGGAGGATCGTGGAGGATATCTCCACCACCTGCTGGACGAAACAAGGAACACCTGCAGGGTTCGCCCAGGAGGACCAGACACAGCAGATTTCGGTGAAGAAGACCTTCCTGACTTGGTCTGAGCCGGAGCCTTCGGTGGCCCCAAGAGCGTTCACCTACCCCGATCGGGAGTTGGTGGAGGACAGGACGATAGCACTGATCTGGTCGGAGGGGTCGGGTTCGCCCATGAAACCAAGGAGCAGGGCATAGTAGGGCTGTGCCGGGAAAAACTGAAGATTTTCTGGCGTTGGTCACCTGCCAGGATCCTTCCAGTATCATTTCAGCATCAAACCTGCTTTTTCAGAACAATGGGAAGCAGCATCCATCAATGCCACGAGCGATGTGATTCGTTCTTTCAGGGCTGAACCAAATGTTGCTCATGCTCCGGGGTCGTTTGCTTCTTGGGAAGAGACACTTTGTTGCAGCTTCAGTGTAGACTGTTACAGTACAATAAAATGCAAATAGTGACCTCCGAAAATATGAAGCACCTTAATGTTATGTATATTAAGTAAACAAACAGTGACTCACAGTGACTCGAGAGTCGCAGTAATTGCTTCGGCCAATTTGCTTGCATTGACGCTCAAACTGCTGACCTAGGTAGCTCCGCACAGCTTAAGACTCCAAAACAAGATCACGTCATGATCACGTCACCTTATGCTCTTGTGATCTCTCTTGGATTCTTTTGGGATGTTTCGGGGCATCTGGATTTAAAAAAACATGTAAACGATAAACAAAAAGTTAACATGATCAAAAACAAAAGCATAAAGGATCACAAAAATTCAAGACTTCGAGTCTGGTCCCCTGGTCCTTCGGCCTGGCCCTTGGTCCCCTGGTCCTTTGGTCAGTCCTTTGGTCCCCTGGTCCCTTTCCTGGTCCGCTGGCCTCGTGGTCCATTGGTCAATGTTGGTCAACAACACCTTGCGTCATTTTCTGAGTGCCCTTCATTGATGAGGCAATGGGGTGTATAGTTTTCGATGGTGATCTATTTGTCGTGCCTTTTGAGTCTGATGGCTTTTGATGTTTGGTTAGAGGCGCTGCGCCCTCCTCCCAACCCCCCCTCCAGCGCCACGAAATCTACACTTCTTTTGCTAATGAACTGGGCCTACCATGACAGATTTTCTAAAGGTCACCCAGGCACTCATCGGTCACACAAAATATTGCACTCACTCGCCTAAGTCTGTTTGGTTTTGTGATGCAAGCGCTTGCAAGCATCCTTTCACTGTCCTGTGGTGGAACGGCACTACATTGATTGGGAAATAGGGTGTGTAATTTTGGATGATGATGTATTTGTGGTGCCTTTAGCGTCTGGTGGATTTTCTAGTTTGCAACTCCGCTCCGGCGCCACGGAATCTGCACTATTTTGGCCAACGCACGGCCTGCCACGACCGACTTTTTGAAGGTCACCTTATCGCATATCCACACCAAGTAATTATTGCACACTGTCGCCTAAGTGCTTTGCATATTTGTTACAATCATCCTTTCATGGTCCTCTGGTTGCCCTGCTGCTGTTGTCCTTTCCCATGCCTTTTCCTAGTTTGTTTTTCTTTCATTGCTGACCGGGAAAATATTGTTTGATCCCTTTCTTTTCTTTTTGATCCCCGTCGAATATTTTGTTTGTTTTTGATTCATTTTGATACTGCACTTATTTGTTGACCCCTCGCCTTTGTTTCGGGGTTAGCTCAGTTTGACTCAGAAAGCATCGAACTTTGTCGTAGTTAGCTGACCCGTGCCAACCCCCTAACATTGGCCATGTGGATGTGACATTGGGCGGTTTTGAGGTTGATCTGCAATCCTTTTGTTTGGTGTGGTTTTGATGTGCAGCTAAAGAATCGTTCATTCGCACACCGTCCTTGGCATTGGATTGTGGTTTGTCATTGACCAAGTGTTTGGGTCTGAAGGTCTGAAGAGGTACTAGCTATTGTTTCTAATTAAATTCTAATTCTAATTATTGTTTCTACATTCGCTTCTTGTTACTAGTAAGGCACCTGTTACTGCTAGCGATGCACCTGTTACTAGAAGCTTATTGTTTCTACTTAATCAATCGACTGGTGTTTCAGACTCTTGGAACCGCTTGGGCCCAATGTGGTATGGCTTGGGCCACTAGAAACCCGCATTCCCATACCCACTGCTGGGAGGTGTCGAAAAAATTAATTCCAAAGAGTTAATGAAACCTGCGTTTCGTTTCTGGAGGAGTCCGAAGAGTGAAAGAAAACAACCAATTTTCTCCAAGACTGGCTGTTTCAACCCCCTTGGTGGGATTTCAAGACTTGGGAATATGTTTCCGCCTGGCCTTCTACAAGTGCAGGAGTGACTTTCAGGATCTATAAAACTCGCCTCATCTCGCACCATCTCTGACCATCTCGGGCAGAGCGGCAGGAGCTCAAGTGTGGCTCCATGGCCCACCGGGTGTCCTTCTCCTCTGGGAGCAACTCCTCCCGCAGCTCCTGTTCGGATGACGAGGCGCCCAACGCGTCGGTCAGTCCGGTTGGTTTCGGGTGGATTGGCGATGCGGGTGAACCTGGTGTTCCTTGCTGGGCTGAGAACCGGAAACATTAGTTTTTTAGTGTGGGTTCAACCATTTGGTGACAGTGCCAAGAGCGAGCAAATAGACTCGACTCGACCGTGAATTTGTCCAAAAGTGCTTCGGTATTGCGGAGATCCATAGTGACAAGGATAGGGTCTACACAAACTTTGTTTGTATGAAGTAGGAACAAAATAGCTTCTAGTAACAAGTGCCTCGCTAGTAGTAACAAGTGCCTTACTACTAGTAACAAAAAGCTATTAATTTAATTTAACAAACAGTCTGAAGAGTGACAGTAGCCCCCCCCCTGAGGCAGCATGGGCAGGGCACGACTGTTCACTCGAGACACTGGAAAGCATCGGTGGTTCCCACACGACTGGCAGATCCAAATGGGTTCAAATGCGGGAGCTACTAGTAGCTTCTTGCTCCTAGTAGCGATGCACTTGTTACTAGTAGCTTGGCACTTGTTTCTAGTAGCTTCTTGCTCCTAGTAGTAATGCCACAGGGCTCCACCTCCAATATGTTTTGTTTCTTTTTTCAGGGTCGCTCGAAAAGGTAGGTCCCAAGCCGTGCCTTTCCTGCGAACACTGGCAGATCTTCTCCACCTTTGCGGCTCGTGCCCAGCCGATGAAGTCAGGACCGGTTCTTGCATCGGGTCCTTCAAAGGGACGGATCAGCAAGCCATCCCGATATATAGGGCACATGATGACCCTGAAGAGGACTAGCCATCTATCCGGAAAGCCATTATTGCTATCCAAAGATTCCGAAAGACATCGCTTCGGTCCGATCTGAACGAACCCTGAGTAACAGACACGGAGACTCCCATCCACAAGGAAATCAGATCATTGACTCACAGATGCGCACCAGACGACGGAAATGGCTGACTGGCCGTTTGTGTCTTCGATGTTTTGGGGCGCCCGAGACGATCCAAGACGTTTGCTGTGAGACTTGCGGATGGATTGGCAAGCATAGTGGCAAGTAAGCATGTATGCAATCCACTGGTTTTCCTCCTTTTCAATCAAGAACTCAATCGTGTTGAACCACCTATGATCAGAGCATGGTCCTCTCCAGGAAGTGACACCTTGCAGCAAGGCTGCGCCATTTCAGCGCCTTGGTGGAAGAGAGTGCCGCCACCAGCACCACCAGCAGGATCATTGGAACGCTTTTCATGACTTGCACCTGTCATGGTGTGTTGGGATTCCCATGGATTCCCCGTTCTTCTTTTCAAACACTGTCGTTTGTGCCGGGTTGGATTGGGTGTTGCCAGAGGAAGACTCACTTGGGACAAGAGTCCCTTCATTCCATGAGTTGAACAAGATCTCTGTCACGTCGGCCTCGAGTCGTTTTTTCCTTCAGTTTCCACTTTTCCATCGTGGGTGGTCAGTGGTTGGTGACTCTGCATTGTTGCCAAACCTGGTGGCTTACGAAATGTCGGGAACAGATTGGATCAAGACATCATATCAAAACCTGGATCCCCTAAACAATGGCAATGGCAGGTTGGCCTTATAATTAGGCTTTTACCATGGTTTTGCCTTAGTTGGGATTTCTTGATCCGTCGTTGTTGGTGAGTTCTTGTGTTATTTTTTGGGGTGAGGAATGATACATTTCCCTTACAATTGCAATTCTCTTGTTCTTCATGTGGGCCGTTGTGTACACATGGCGGATGTGTTGCGTGAATATGGTGGTGTTCAATGAGAACCCCCCGGGCTGAGAGCCCGGGCTGAGCCCCGATATACACTATGGATCTGTAGTTTTGCAAACCTTGCCATCAGAATCCTTTATTCAGGCTTGTCAAAGACTGCACACGTTGGATGGAACTCCTACACTCCTCAGGGGCTCTCTTTGTTCCCCCGGCACACCGCCTTGCAATCATTTGCAGACTGCATCTCAGGGTACAACGAACCTACTCACCGAAGACGTGTCCATTGGTGGTACTATCAATTTCATTGAACTTCTCCGGTTGTTTAGTTGCTGTGCGCCGATGTGTTTGAAGTCGAAGACCAGGCTCATTTCCAGTCCCCATGATTTTTGCTGATGTGTTTGGTTTGTGGACCTGAGGCCAGTGATGGGACGAATTCGTTCCAGGAGATGGTGAAACTGTCGTCGCGAGTGCCGACCTGTAGACTCTTGCGGTGCGCTGGTGCTGGTAGAGGTTTAACTAAATTAAACTAAAGGGATATGACAAATCATTGATGTGTGAGTGCTTTCAGAAAGGAACTTCAGCTACCCAGAGGCCAAACAAACATTATGTGCACGACATGATTTCCATCCCATACAGAGTCCCGTACAAGCATTACTAAGTAGGAAGTGCGTAAAATGGAGTAGAGAGCATTCTGTCTACTGAACTTAAATTAGGGTAAGCACGGGTAAAACACAATATAACAGCTAAACCAGAAGCAGGAAAAGCCTCACATGTGCCATTATGTGTGTTCTGTATATTATATTGTAATTTTGGTTAGTTTTGCTGCTTGCATTCCACAGTGGTTGGCGGCTTTCCACATAGATTTACCATGAATTAGGTCCTGAAAGCATCTGAAAGCCTGAAAGCGGTCAAAACATGTGTTCGTTTCGGGAGCCGCCCCACCGACGCGGGCACCCGTAAATCCCAGCGTTTGATCAAGCGTCTCAACTGTTTCCCTGAAACTGCAAGTTCGCAACTGCGCGTGTCTATATGGATCCATATGGATCCTTTAGCTTTTTGGGCTTTGATATCGGCAAGCTGCGGTGGCAATCAAGATTTATTCCATCAAGAGTGCATTCCATGAGTACTGTACTGGCCGGTAGGAGTGTATTACTGTATTTATATAGCTGAAAATCCTGCAATCCGCTTCCATGGTTCGATGTACTCCCATGAAATTTACCGTATGGTCTCAAAGCAGGTGCTCACAAACATGGCACACTTGAAACTTGAAACGGTGACCTCCTGGGGAATCCGGAAAGCACCGGTGTTTGGAGAGTAATTATATATGTGGTTTGTGCGACCAGATAAAGACTAACATAGAACACAAGAACACAAGTAAGGATTGATAGTTCTTGCACTGAAGCAGCAGATGCTAACATGGAATCTGCCTGATGGCCAGCATATTGCTACTGACTGTACATGTGCGATCTTGCAACGTTCCATGTTAGACTCAAGAGCGATCAACATTGCCCAGGATTTCCCAGGTTTGTTTCGACTGTGTTTCAATACCAGCATAGCTCCAAATCTTAAGGACACAAACTAGCGAAATGCAGCCACTCTAACACGGCACATGGATTTGTTTGATTTTGTTTCTTGGATATTCGATTTCACCGGTGTACTTCTCATCCTTTGCTCGTGCCCTGGGGTTTTACTTTGCGCTGGACAGGACAACATCCCTCCGGTCTATGTCAAAAAACACTTTCCTGAATTTCGAGTCAGAGCAGCGAGAGCCAGCTTTGGCCGGAAGGTCATTTACATTTCCAGCGCCTCAAGTGACCCACCGATTCAAGGCGGGAGTTGGCCAAGAGCGGGACGATCTGCGCTGGTCACTTCGCTCGGTGAAATCGCCAATCCTGTTATTAATCAGGCCGTAAAGTTGAAGTCACAAGATCGTTTGATATCCTATGTACTGTATATATATATATTTATATTTGGAAGTCTTACTCTTACCCGGAGAGGTATCACGGTATCGCACTAAAGGCAAAGCGCGGGCCTTTCTCGGGCACGCGTTTTGTCAAGGCAACATACACTAAAACTAAATATTTGTATCACACCATCCAGTAGACTGTTCTCTTCATTGTACATTTATGTTGGCAGTACAGTGGTGAAGCGCTGAGATTTGTTGAGCTTCCTGGGGGTAGTACTAACTCCAGAATAGACACCAGCTCTTGAGGAATCTATTTGATACGCTTTCTCTGACAAATATTTGATACGCTTTCTTTGACAAATATACATATATATATATATATATATATGCATATAGTATAATTAATATATAGTCAACTCAGACAGAGTGAGACCATCGATCGCTAAAGCGGTGTTGTCAACTGGGTCAACTCTGCCGCTGACCGTCGATTGTGCGGTCGACCCTTCCGGTGAAGGAGTCCTCGGCGCCCAGACCGGCATCTCGAGCGCGGTCGACCTGGATTGAAGCCAGTGCTAGCACTCGGAGCCCAATAGATTCAGATGATGTTTCCAATGACACTTTGTCCAAATGGAAGACTTGCGGGTTGATTGAAGTATTTGTTCAATTTCTGAGCGTTTATTTGATCATGAACCATGTGGGTTTGTCTCGGGGGACGGAAGACATATTTGTAGTAAGGCACTTGTTTCTAATAGCAAACATTGTTACTACTAGTAAGGCACTTGTTACTACTAGCGATGCACTTGTTACTAGTAGCTTCTGTTTTAGCATGGTGCCCATATGTTTCAGTAACCTTTGATCCTAGGATAGTGGACACATCACCTCCGGAGATGCAGCCGAATCGGCAGTCCACGAGGCACAGGATAGGAGAGCACGGATCAACTGCTGGGTGTGGCTCTAGTTGTGGATTGAACCCAACCACCCCCAAGCCATGCTAGCTTGATGTAGCTTGTTGATTACTGTCTTTCGTTGCCTTCAATACATTTTGTATACTTGGGTAAAGATCCGCTTCATCCGATGATTCCCAATATAAACACTCACCCACACAACAGGTGTTGCGTTCCGTTCTGATTTCATTTGATTCCCCCCCAACAAGACCTTGTGGTTAAGACCTTGCAGGCACATACGTCCAAGAACTGTGGTAAACCACCCTAGGGACCCTATCATCCTGATTAGATTGTCCGTGGCCATGTCATTAATCATGTATTTCTGATGCTTATCATTCACTGACAATGACATCATGTTCGCTGATGTCCGGTCTGATTCGAGGGGGGCGGTGATTTTTCTGTTTTCGTTTTAGCGGTTGGGTTCTCTCTCTCTCTCTCTCTCTGGTTGAAACCCTGATGTTGACAGTTCAACTATTCATAATACACACAAACACCCCGGTACCTCTGAGAGGAAAGGGCTGTTGAGTGGCGCAAGACGCCTTTCACAAGCATCGTTGGGAGGTCAACCAGGTACACAAGGGGATCATCCCTTTACAATACTCAAAAAATAGTGTAGCCCTTAATTAAGCTCACCTTGGGGAAAAAGAAAAGCATCATGCTACCACCATGGCGCCGTTTGGCATGTCACAACAACAATCAACAACGTGGGGGCTCCTTCTTTCAAAACGGTCAGCTTTTTTAAACATGATTTAACGTGCATGAGCTGTGTTTGACGTTCTCATGGCGTGTGGTAGTTCTCTCTCAAAATGGGTGTTTGGCAAAGGGTCTTTGGCCTGACCCCGGCATTGTCACGAAACTTGTGCTTTTAACACTACCTCTGGAACTGTGATGCTTTAAAGTGGCAGATTCGTTTCCTGGTATCCTACTTGCAGTGTTTTGCTAGTCACTTGATAGCCCCTAAGTACCAGAGGCCAGGATCCACAAGTTTGACTCAGATCGGACGTGAGCGTACTTTGTGGGTTCAACTCCGATCACAAGCCGCAAATATTATGATAAAAGGCCGCCATTCCATCCTGATGGACCAGTCGCAATGCATTTTTCATCAGCATACTTCACTGCAGAACTGGGAGGAGTGCTTATGAACAATGCGTACTTGTTCAAAGGCAATTACGAGGTGCAGTGCAAAGAAGTAACTTGCTTCCATAAAGCCTCGGGTAGTACCAAAGGAGGTGAATTCTGGAATTTGTCTATTCAATGATGCAGCATGAATCCGCCCGCCGCCGAAGGTGCTGAGGCGTTGTCCCCAGTTCGCGTAAACCGCTGGAATTGCTAGATAGCTCAATACGCTTTAGCTGTAAGGGTGGCATGGTTTAGAATGCTGCGTTTTTTGAGCGTAAAAAAGCGGACAACAAATCAGCAAGCCATCGGTGATGTCAACTATGCTTTCCGAGTGACATTGCGTTATTGACATTCTGTGTGCTTGCCCATCGCTGCTGCTTCAACACTACTGGCGCCCCAACTGCTGCTAAACTAACCCAGATGTTCCTCCTAAACTCGATCTTTCTTACTTGCACCTACCCCTCGTTGTTTCCATGATCGTTTTTTTTCCTCAGGGCGCACTTCTTCTGAGGCTTTGAGCCCTGCAACTGTTTTTTCCCGGCTCAAAGAGCACAAGTATCCGTGCGGGCGGCTTCGACCGCGAAGCGGCGTGAACCTGGTGGCAGTCTCATTTTGTGTTCGCAATGTGTTTGGCTTCACAAATCTCTATTCTTAAAAATATATATATATATGTATAGTGAGAGATGTCAAGAGACAAGTTCATTTACAATAGTTCATTTACTCTCTCGTACTGTTCATGTACAATTGCACGGTGCCATACAATGCACCTTGGATCGAGGCCTTGGGCCTAAGGACAGTTGCCAGAGGAAAACAATACAGAGACGTGCACAAACAAACGACAAACAAACAGCTGCTGAATTTTACATGGTAGCGGAGCAAGGATCCTGGTAACAACAATCCAGGTGAGCTCCAATACAGCAACAGGCACAAGCCAACAAACACACACAACGGAGAGCAAGCCTTGACCCTACAATAGGTAGCTTGCACAGCTGCAACAATGGCAGCACAACAAGCAGCAGCTCAAGCTGGAGATGGACTGCCTCCAGTTCCAGAAGATGAGACAACAGCAGACATAGTAAACATGAACAGATACAAACTCAAACCACCCTTCTTCAATGGAGACTATGGCACGTTCGAGGGATGGAAGTACAAGTTCACAGCATACATGGGATTGCAAGACAATGATTACACAGAACTATTACAAGCAGCAGAACGAGGCACAGCAGAACTCACAGAAGTACAACTACGAGCAGCGGCAACAACAATCGAGGATGGTGAACGACATGTTCGCCTCAGCACTGATTTGAGGTACATCCTCATCAACACAACAACTGGAGCAGCAGCCACAGTATGCAGACAATACCAACACACAATTGGCTTCGAGATGTACCGACAACTGTGCATCCGCTTCTCCATCCCATTGGGGACAAGATCCATAGGACATTTGACAAGATTGTTGAAGCCAACATTTGACGAGAACAACTTCGAAGAATCATTTTCCACATGGGAATTTGAGCTACAAAGATTTGAGCGAGACAACGGACAAACACTCCCAGACTCCGTGAAGATTGCCGTATTGCTCAACGAGACAAGCGGACCACTACAACAACACCTACAACTGCTTTCAGGACAAAGCCCAAACTATGCACGAGTCAAACAAACAATCATCGAGTACTACAGATCAACCACAGCATTCAGCAAACTGCAACAAGTACGATCACAATCATCCAGTGTAGCAACAAGCTTTGGTGGAGGACAAGCACCCATGGACATTGATGCAATCCACAAAGGAAAAGGCAAGTACAACAGTTATAAAGGAAAAGGCACAGGAAAAGGAAAGAACAAAGGCAAAGGCTACGGAGGATACAACGGCTACGGATACAACAGTTACAACATCAGCCACAAAGGAAAAGGAAAGTATGGAGGAAAAGGATTCAACAACTACAACAACAGTCCGATTGGCTTTGGCAATCCATTCGGAAGGGGCAACAAAGGAAACAAAGGATTTGGCAAAGGATACAACAAAGGCAAAGGAAAGAACAAAGGAAAACAAGCAACAGACACATGCTACAGATGTGGAAGAACAGGACATTTTGCCAAAGATTGCCGAGTGGCAATACACAACATTGGACAAGGAGAGAGCAATGACATTGAGGATGCAACAGCACAATGGTACGATGACTACTATGACAATGGATGGTACTGTCAGGACTACATGAGACCACAACCAGGACAACAGCCATTGGCCCTTCCACCAATACCATCCAATGGTAACAACGACATGACACCAATTCATGTCATCGCCATGATCAACAATGGCAATGACCACCAGACAGGTACAACAAGCAGCGGCGCAACAGACACTATGCACATCATGATCGACAGTGGAGCAGCCGCACATGTCTGTCCACTATGGTTTGCAGACAACTATCCAGTGTACAAGAATGATCAAGCACAGAGCCCAAACCTCAGGACAGTGACGAACAAAACAATACAATGCTATGGAGTAAGATGGGTCTACATGCAATCGAAGGGACAACCAATTGTCATACCATTCTATGTGTGTGACATCCATGACCCAATCCTGTCAGTGACAAGACTGGCAGAACAAGGCTTTGACATCAGGTTCAACGACACTCCAACAATGCGCCATGACAAGGGATTCGATGTTCCCGTGGTACAGCAGCACAATCTCTACTACTTACCAGCAACAGTCATGAACCTAGGACAACATCAACAATTGCAGCTGAGACAAACACAAAAGGGCACGATTGCAATGATTGCCCCAACAACACTGACAAGACATGGACCGCAACAAGTCCTTGGAGACAATAGCGACTACTGGAACTACAACAATGAAGGATACCTTGTACGGTATCACCGGAACAAGAGGAAAGCTCTCTTTGTTCCCGGCGACAATTGCCCAGTGCCACTGGAGACATTGAGCAACTACAGACGAACAATCATTCGGCGAACAGACCGGAACAACGAAGACATTGTTGAACAATACCATGACTTGAACAAGCACGAACAACGAAGAGTGATACAAGGAGACACATGGACAGGAGAAACATGGTTCAGAGTGAACAAACCGCCAGCACAACCAGCACCTACAACAGCGAAGACAACAGAGAAGACAGAGAAAGCATCACAAGCAATACAGACACGACATCAATCCACAACACTGCGAGTCCCGGACAGAGACGGGACAACACTACAGGCAAACAGAGAGCCACTATACAGACATACAACGAAGAAGCCAGCACCAATGACCATGGCAGTACCTGATCCATCAACAATGACACCAACAACAGACTATTGGATCAGAGAAGGACATTATTGGAAGCGAGTTCACGTACAAGCACGGACAACAATGTACGTACCACAACAGACAGATGATGAACCAGACATTGGACGACTCAAACCCACGCGGACAACATTCGTGAACAGGACGGAACAAGGAAGAGGATACACAATCCATGACAATTGGCAGGAATCAGGAGCAAGACAGCTTGACAGACAATGGACAGGATCAACAAATTTTGAGGAAGAAGCGACGTACAAGTACGAGTACGATACGGACAATGAAGATGAATCTCAACAAGCACAACGCGCAAAAGGAATGAAGGCGCCACAACAACCAACAAGACAAGAGAGGCTAGAACATGAGCTGACACACTTACCATATCGCTCATGGTGCCCAAGATGTATCAAGAGTAAAGGAGGAACAGACAATCACCCAAAACAAGCAAGCAAACAACCAGTGATACAAGTGGACTTCACCTACATGAAAGCATTTGGAGACAAGCAAGTACTACCAGTACTCACAGCAATAGATGTCGAATCAGGT